ACTTTCCAGTCCTCCCGCGCAAGGTCGGAAGGCTTCCGTTTAATCCGGGTAGCGAATCGAGCTACGCGGTCATCGGGTTCCAGGACAAACAAGAAAAAAAAAATGGTTTCAACGGAAGCTACGTGAAATGGGATTTTACGCAATGATTGCTCATTTCCTTCACGCGCAAGCTTCTGCATTTAATGTACCCGAAACTATTCCTGGGGTCAAATGGGATTACAGTGTAATGTTCTAAAACGTTTCGAAATGCCATCTACTTCGCAACGTCAACTCCACAGAAACCCCTCCTCTCCAAAGAATATAGGCTATACTTCCTCGGGAGTTATTTCTTGAATAAGCAAAGCCTAAATTAATATCTGAAATTTTTTAAAATCTGAAGTGGGCTCAAGTATCGACATTAGAGCACCATGAAATGGACTTTTTCGGGTGCACATTTCTCAGACAACGGGAGATGAAATTTCCCAACAACCAATACCAAAACTTCAAAAAGATCCCAATTAGTCTGCTAAAACTTTGATTCAATTGCAGCAATGACACCTCGCTCAACATTTGAAAATGTCGGACCAACTTCACGTACAGCACTCCCAGTACGAAAATGTTCTACGTGTTTTCAAGATTTGGAAGATTCTCAGTTGCAAAAAAAATTTTGAAACTATAATATCTTGAATATTTTCAGCAGTTTGACAGCCTTCGAAGTCATAAAATACGCCCGTGGGAAATAATCAATTCCCTAAAAGTGATGTTGGGCACTTACAAATTATTGTTGCTACATTTCAACAAGTTTTAAAAACCATCAGGAAATTCCTTGGGAAGTGGTCAGACATTTCCCGAAGAAAAACATGTCTCAAGTCCATTGGTCCATGTGAGATTGCTACCGCAATAAAATCATAGGACCGACACAATAGATGAACCAAAGCTCGTACTGATGTTGAAAAAGTGACCAGAAAATGCGAAAGGAAACCAGGTGAACACCACAAAAACCTCATCACTTTCTTCTTTCGTTGTCTTGGAAAGGATCCCCGCAATTTCCAATGGAAGATGAATTCATCAACATCAGTTTCTAGCATTGTACTGTATTTTTCCAGTCGAATAATCGCGACCAAATAGGCAAATACGGATTTGGAGCGAACTAATCCTGGGAAAATTCGGGAGTCGAAATTATGAACACCGCGCACAGGAATTTTAGATTTTTTTTTACTCGGACGCTCATTTGTGAAAACTAAAATACTGTGTGCATTTTTCTAAAAACCGGAAAAAAATATTCTTACAGGCTGAATATTAAAACTGACAGGTGGTATCGATGAACAGGGATGATAAGTGAGAGCTTCTCACCTCGCGGTTGGGGCTTCGGGAACATGAATGAGATTTTATAGAATACTGTCGGTATTTTTCTCGGGCGTGGGTGTCGCACGACCGACACGCCTTTTTCGACACCCACCATGAGAAATACGGTCAAATCGGTTTCGAAGATAGAACCTGCTATAGAAACGCCTAAACGCTCAACTGGAGTCCACCGAGAGAGAAAAATAAATAAATATCACTGCTGAAATAGTGAGGTACGATGGTTGCCACAACTCGGAAAGTTATTGAGCAGCGTCTTGCCATCGACTCGTAAAACGGTTAAGTTTGCTTGCGAAGGGAAATAAATTTTGGAATCATTTTTATTTCAGCAAGTAAGAATTTTATGGAACTTTCTTTGAACAGCAATTTTACAACGACGTTTTCTCAATCAGCGACGGAGACATTATTTTGGCAGATTCATCTCATAACTTCGCTAACAATCCAATCGGACGCATGTATGAAAGATCGACCGAACAATTAACACGACTCGGCGCAGAGATATTGAAAATTTCCCAAATTCCCTTCGATCGTAGGGAGAACCTATTGATTACGTTCAACAACAACAAAAAACCCCGTCAACTGTTTTCAAGCAGAAGTTCTTAATCAGAAAGTCCTCATTTTATTCTATCACAGTTTTCTGGAAATAAAGTATTGCATTTTATGCCAGCATTATTTTCTCTCGAAAATGGCAGAGAAAGCTTAGAACTTTTCGCAGTTCTCCAAAATTTCTCAATTGTTCAGAAATTTTTTGGAAAATTCAGAAGTATCACAATCCATATTTCTCGGGGTTCCGTTCGTGATTTTTTTTTTCATTCCATCAAACGCGCGCTAACGCATAAAAAATGAATAATTTTGCGCGCAATTTTTTTTTTAAACAGCAGATCCTAAGCAAAATTTTTCAAGAATAAGCCTTTTGCATTTGTTCTTGTAAAAAAGTCTTTTACGGATGGAAAATCGGACTCACCTTTTTCGAGGTATGAATTCTTCGGCACGATCCTGATGACGTCTCCCTTCCTGAAAGACAACAACGTCGGCTCCCTCGTCACGTAGTCATTCGTCGCTCGAACGAACTCGTGCGATCCCTGCAAAAACAATTGAACCAAAATGGAATTATTGACATGATATTCTAAACTGTTTCATCATCGTTATGATTTGAGTTACGAACTTTTCAGTTCTACCCGATTCTTCGCTAGCCCCCTTCCTTGATATTTCATTACTTCAACTCGCTTGAGGCGACGTTCTCAAAATTGTCGTGAATCAGTAGCAAACCGTGATCGAAAATGGATAATGAAACATATATCGAATGTACAAGTATATTGATTAAAAGCAGCTAATTTAGAAAAATTATGAATCTTGACATTCAAGAAAATGAATACCGTACATTCATCGGCGATGGAGTTCAGAAATGTCCGAATATGTTTCTCATGCAACTCAAGTTGAAAGCATCTTAAACAGAACCTTTTGGCAAAGGTTTCAAAAATAATTTGGTCTTCTTTCAATGCTTCGTGGAGCCAGGTGATCCTCGTATTCTCAAGCATATACTTCAGTCTTTTTTTTCTTTTCAGTAGCCGCAAAGTATTTAATAAAGAATTATTGTTTTGACATTTTCAAAGGCGGGAAATCGCAATGCTGTACAAGCAACTTGAACCTAATATTTTTGAATCTACTGAACAGCGAAAAGGTTTGGGACTTCATGTTTGCGCAGATCCTCTGATTTTCAGTTCTTCCATGGTTCGGACACTTTGCAGAAGGTTTTTAAGAATTCAAGAATCGTTAATCCCCATTTTCACCATCTGACGAAGAGTGTATCTTAATTTTCACTGGTTACCACAAGATCTCTGAAGACCTAATGCAACTCGAGGAAAATTATCGAGCTCAGACAAAACTCGACGGTACATTCACTGGCGACATTCGTCATGCACGCGGGATACAGAAAGCATTTACATCGGCAAAAACATACTTCGAAATTCCAAGAAGCAATATCCCGACCAGATCTCAAGTTGACAAGACGTCAAAAAAAAAACCCTGAGCACATGAAATACAGCCAATACAGTGGATGCAGGTGCAGGGTCAAGTGAGCGCATGTAGCGACGAAATGACCACCAGGTGACCAGCATTGGGCTCCGAGACAGTCGATTGAGAAGCAGATTCTACTGATTGAGGATATATCAAATCGGTCTCCAAATATTTCGGTCTCGAATTGTTCACGACTTGAAATGCTTTTTATCTCTGCTTGAACACGTTTCGAAATGCTTTTGCGTGGAAATTGACCCAGATGTACTAAAACACCATTCCAAAATATTTAAAACAAACGAACGTAAGAGCTGTCCTTGTCGCACTTATAAAAGCAATTTCAACAACAACTTGTAATTGGCCAGCATGTGCGAACCCTTTTTCATTGAACGAACACATTATTCATGACAGACACCAGCTCGCTTTGATTCAAGAAATCGATGCCATAGTTGTACTGCGCTGAATCGAACCTCGCTAAGTCAAATTCTGAATGAATACCCAGAAGAGAAATGCATTTTAGATATTCTAAACTGATCATATTTCGAGTTAAACCCTCCTCAGTTGAATTTGTAAGGTCTTTTCGCACTTAATCTGGAAGTGATTTGCACAAAACCGACAATAAAAATGCAAGTTATTTTCTGAATGCTTTCTACAAGTGATTAGGCTGCTTTTTGCAAGTAAGAAATATGTTTCCATTGAAAGGTTTCAATAATTTAGCGGGACAAAAATTTCCTTGATTATTTGCAGGCTGATCCGGTTGAGCTAAACAACACAGGGAAACTAAAGCTGAAGCTCTCTAAGATGACTTGCTGGTTTGACCATAATACTCGTATAAAGCACTTTACTGTGTTAAATTTCTGGAAGGAAGAACACCCGGCACATTGGTGCACAGTATCCACAGAGAAGCTAAATTGAGTGGCAGTCCATTTTTTTTCGCTCAGTTTGTAAGTGCTCATTCAGCGTGTTATGAACGGTAAAATGATAGGATCTCGCAGGGTTTCAATAATGCGCCAAGAAACAATGAAAACTAAATTACAAGATCGTCGCCAGAGAAATCGCAGGATCCACGTCGCCGCCGTCGCCTGGTTGCTCCCATCGACGGCGACGCATCCGGTTCGCACCAACCGTTTCTCGCGTCGAGCGAGGAAAAATTAGACGCAAACGACGTCGCACTGCTGGGCTTCGACAAAGAGTCCAACTCGTAGTCGCACTCTTCAGCCGCCCCGTTCCCCGTCACGTCGCGAAACAACTCGAACCCCGAGTCGGAGTCNCTTTTGCGTGGAAATTGACCCAGATGTACTAAAACACCATTCCAAAATATTTAAAACAAACGAACGTAAGAGCTGTCCTTGTCGCACTTATAAAAGCAATTTCAACAACAACTTGTAATTGGCCAGCATGTGCGAACCCTTTTTCATTGAACGAACACATTATTCATGACAGACACCAGCTCGCTTTGATTCAAGAAATCGATGCCATAGTTGTACTGCGCTGAATCGAACCTCGCTAAGTCAAATTCTGAATGAATACCCAGAAGAGAAATGCATTTTAGATATTCTAAACTGATCATATTTCGAGTTAAACCCTCCTCAGTTGAATTTGTAAGGTCTTTTCGCACTTAATCTGGAAGTGATTTGCACAAAACCGACAATAAAAATGCAAGTTATTTTCTGAATGCTTTCTACAAGTGATTAGGCTGCTTTTTGCAAGTAAGAAATATGTTTCCATTGAAAGGTTTCAATAATTTAGCGGGACAAAAATTTCCTTGATTATTTGCACCGACTAGGCCAACTCGATTTGTTGTGTCCCTTTGATTTCGACTTCGAGAGATTCTACTGAACGACCAAACTGGTATTATGAGCATATTTCGTGAAATGACACAATTTAAAGACCTTCCTTCTTGTGTCGGCACATTGGTGCACAGTATCCACAGAGAAGCTAAATTGAGTGGCAGTCAATTTTTTTTTCGCTCAGTTTGTAAGTGCTCATTTAGCGTGTTATGAACGGTAACATGATAGGATCTCGCAGGGTTTCAATGCGCCAAGAAAACAATGGAAACCAAATTACAAGATCGTCGCCAGAGAAATCGCAGGATCCACGTCGCCGCCGTCGCCTGGTTGCTCCCATCGACGGCGACGCATCCGGTTCGCACCAACCGTTCCTCGCGTCGAGCAAGGAAAAATTAGACGCAAACGACGTCGCACTGCTGGGCTTCGACAAAGAGTCCAACTCGTAGTCGCACTCTTCAGCCGCCCCGTTCCCCGTCACGTCGCGAAACAACTCGAACCCCGAGTCGGAGTCAGACCAGTAATCCGGGACTAGATCCACCGCCGTTGCTGAAGACACTGATAATGACGACGACGGCGGTGGTGGTGGTGGTGGCGGCGGCGGTGTCGGCGACAAGGGCGCCGGGGTCAACTCCACGCGCGGTAACAAAACAGTCACGACTTTGTCTCCCGACGACGACTGCACCAGCTCGTACGTCTTAGAGTAGCAGTTGTAGCGAAGCATCGCCATCTGCGCGAGATTCGATCAAACTCCACGCGCGGGAGTTGCAAGAGCTTTAAACGAGCGGCGCCACTGCATTCCCTCGAGGCTTTCCATCACAAGCGCGATGGAAAAATATGAACAGAACTCCGTGAGCAACAGGAAGAAAATGCAACTCATGGTGCAATTCTTCCATCGATTCATCACAATATCTCGACTGAAGTTTATGAAACCACTTCAGTACCGTAATTCGCACTCAGCTACTGAACAGTGGGACTTGAAGATACATCTTCAGCGTCACGAAGCTAGATTTTCTTACTCTGACGTCAGTGTTTTTTTTAGTTCAACTTCCTGGTCATAATTCAAAACGCGAAAAACGTTTTAGGACAAGGAAAATTCCAATATCTCGTGAACTTCATGAGCTATCAAGGAGAAAGAAGGCATATTCATGTTCATTCGATTCGCATTTCGAGGAATTTTTGAAGAGGTTTGACGACGTTTGCACAAGGATTGTTTTAACCTGGTGCGGTTACGAATGACTCACACAATCAACACTTCTTCCTTCTGCCGAATTTAATTAAACTTTTTAAGGCTTTCTCAGAATCTTTCCTGTTTCCCATTCTTCTTGACTTATTTGTCATTCTTGAAAAAAAAAACTAAGAATTACTACGTTGGAAATCACATTTTCTGCCCATATTACGTTCAACCTAAGTGATAATAAATTAACCATGTACTGCATTTGATAATTCTGAGGTTTCATCGATTTAATTGCTCCAAATCACGCATGGGTAACTTAATACACCACTTTGATATTTTATCGCTCATTTCTCAAATGATCAAAAGAAGACGAATCCCAAATACCGCATCACAGTGGCGCGTCAAGTATCATGCTGTAGTTTTTCAAAGATTTCTTGCAGTTCCGTGGAAGTTGAAATATTTTGACTTCTGCTCGCGATTTCGAAAACCTAAGCATCTCGTTCGGAACTGTCTATACCGTAAAAAATTATTAAATCTGAGAATACTGTACTGTAATGACGAAGTTGGTAAGTCCAAGTCTTGCAGGAATCTAGGCGTAGAAATCCACCCAATTCTAGGCGTAGAAATCCACCCAATTCTATGCGGATCTCACATCAGATAACTTTCATTTCGCAAAACATTCCCCAGAGAATTTTTCATCACACCACATCAATTTTCAACGTCGAATCAGGAGATCGATCATACAAAGTCAAGCGAGCAATCCACCATAAGTTTGGAGCGCCTTGCAAAAAAAAATGTTGTTTTTTTTACGCGAAGTCATGCACGATTTTTGGAACATTTTTCCCGAGAGCACAACAGCAATTTTTTTACTCGTACCAGGAACGAATTGCTTGAATTTTATCCTTAAGCAACCAATCCACTGCGAGAAAAAGTCGACAGTAATTGGATTTCCACCTGTCAATGCACGACTAAAATGTGATCAACATTTTTTTAAATAATAACTTGAAGCGTTACAGCCATTATTGATTTCTTGACCACACCTTGCGATAAAACTCGACGGTTTTAGCTGAGGTCACACGCACCGCGCGAAGCCAATGCCATAGAACACATCAAAGCAAAATTGAAAACTTTTTCTTCCTTTTTTACCTTGCTTTCCGTTGAAGGCCGATTCAGAAGCTCACATCCACCATTTGTCTTTCCCCATTTTTACCCTCCTTTTCGTGCATTCCTACAGATATTCCGTCCGATGACACGAGAGAAAAAAAAAAGCTGACGCAGACGGATTTCCGAGCGTCGGTGAAGTCGCAGTAAAAATAAATACGCGTCCCGACGCCGACGACGTCGTCCGTCCTCGCAGCTTGTTCGACACGTCAGGAAACGCGGGTTATTACGCGTCCGCGTCCACGCATATTCAGAACAGGTTTCGATTCCGCCGTGTCGACGACGTCACCCCGTTTCGTACGTGACACAGAATGTGATGCTTAAAATTTTTTTTTTTTTATGAATTACGTTTCGCATTTCTTCGAAAGGCCTTCAAACACTTATTTTTTATGTTCAGTCCTCGTGCGAAATGGAAGGTGTGACGGAAAATGGGGAGGAAAAGGTCACTAAATTCCCGGGAAGCCATTCACTGGAAGTTTTCATGATCACGGAAACCCTTCAACGAAATTTTTCCACGCATTCTTTTTCTCTTTCCTTTCTTTTAGAACCATGAGATTGGTACGTGCTTGCTCTTTAACAACATAACAGACACTGATAAATGACATACTTTGTCCTAATTGACTCGGCGTCCGGAATTTAGATGAACAATACTAAAAGCGCTTTTAAACAAATTTATTTTTCGGAATTCGCAATTTGATAAACAGAAAAAAAGTTATCAATTAATTAACTCGGCGAAACGTTTGCTTAGTTCATCCTTTATTGAAATTGATCATCGATTCATAGTTTATTTCGTTTCGTGAGTTTCTTTACACGCTCAAAAAAACAGATGCCTGAAACTCAACTTTTCAGTGCTTAATTATAAATTATAACAACTCACAAATGCATTGGTGACCAGAATACTGCACAACCGTGATTAAAACTACTGTATATCGTAATTCCATTTTTTTTGTCGAATAAATAGGAGACCCACTTTTGATTTACTGCAGGTAATCCCTCCGATGGAAGCTTCAAACAGGATTTTTGATGCATCAAAAATAACCGTACTGGAATTTCCGCAGATTTTTTTCTTCGCCCATGTGAATTTTCAAATAAAGCCTTACTTGGTCAGACTAAAACATGCACAGCTCATTCTTATCAACTTGAGTCGAAGAAACTTTCACAGAACAGGTCTCAAACCTGACAAAAAGAACCGTTTCTCTCAAGAATATCAAAAATTTGCGTTTTACAGCGGGCGGTCCGAGGTTTTCACATATTTCACGTCAGTTTATGACCTTGACACAGCGGGACAAGAATATTGACACATAAAAAATTTTAATTTCTGCACGTTCTAATGACATCGCCCAAATCTTCCGACGATGTGCCACCTACTAAATTCCTCACGACTGCCTGCGACATACCAATCACACTCACTCTCATTCGCGAACAGAAAGCGGAACGGCATCAGCGAAAAATCACTCGGGTTTCGAGTCAGTGGTAAAATTCTACGGAAGATTTCCACGCAAATGCGCTGGTTTATCCAGCTTTCACACAATCCCCGCCCGCAAAAATAAAGTTCTCACCAACACACTTTTTTTTTATATTTCATTTCCCTATTTCCCGTGATAGCAAGTCTCATGATTCGAATCCGTCATCGTCGTCGTCCTCAAACCGACGCGAAGCTCATCCCAACGTTCAATTGTGTTTTGTGAAAAATGTAAGTTAATTGGGTGAAGTTTATTCTACTCTCCTTTTGTCTCTCACGCCGATGCGGAAGGTCAAACTCGAGGAAATCGCGACGAGCGCACCACGAGCCACAATCGACTCGGTTCATCAGATAAGCTCCTGATGAGCAGAGACACGGACTGGACACAGAAAATGTATATCTAGATGCGAAGAAAAAACCCCCAGGAGACCAACAGAGTCATTATCCATCCAGGCGTCTTCTCCACTACTGCCAGGTACCGGCAATAAGACACAGGGACAACCTTGCGTTCGCGTGTTTGTCCGTACGCGCGTACATACGCACGTACGTACGTCCGTACGTGTTACTTGTCTGCAGTTTCAATCCCTTCCCAAGCAAAGAAAAAAAAATAAATAGATATCAAGGAAGAAAATAATACCCCTTCCTCGCATTTTCGTCACAAAACCCGGCTCGGTTTTATCCCTGCGATAGGATTTCTCTGCTTGCTTCCCTTCGGGGTTAACCACGCGGCGAAGGCTCATCTCGTCCCGTTTTCTAGGGCGCACGGATAGAAGCCTTAGGAAAGCCATTCACGCAGCATTAGTGTAACCGGAGGAAACAGGGAGTCGGTGCTGAGAAACCCGGAGGTGCGGCATAAATTACGATTTAAACGAAGACTGGAAGAACACGGTGCCTTTGTCACGAACGTTTTGATGAAGCGAGCACACCCCCGTGATGTCCTGCACGAAGCACGAATGGATGATACCTCCAGGAAGCGCAAGTATTTACAGAGAGAAGAAAAGAATGATGAGCTTTAAAGTACCTAAGGTCTGCATTGAATCATTACTTTATGGACCGATACGAAGGGGTGGTTCGAAAGTTTTGCGAATACAGAGTGTCGCGAAAGGCAGGCTTTTAGCTGCAATGATTCAGTATTCATATGTTCAGAACCAATGTGAAATCAATATGAATACGTGAACGCATTCCAAGTACAGTGTGATCGTCAAAATAAAACATATCGTTCCACGGATTTATTGATGCTACTTGATTACTGCTCCTTAGAAATGAAGCCTGGCATTCGGCGGCTGCTAAAAAAAATAATATTGCATTTACACAATAATCACGCGATTTTGTTTTGAGCGTAAATGCATATTTTTACTTATTCTTGCATCTAAAAAGTATTTCTTCTAACTTCAGTCAATGTGCTTAAGGCATGACGCACTCCATAAGTTTACAAACTTTGCAGAAAGGAGTTACACTGGGCTAAGATGTGCGCCCCAATTTTTGAGCACAATTTATTTTCAGAAAAAATGCTATACTGTAGTAGCATTCGGGCAAACACGGCACTAGATTTTACATGAGAAACTGTTTTTGACAGTGGATGCATCAAAATTAATTCAAGAAAATAACATTGATGAGTCGAAAGTTGAACTCAGTAATTAAAACACTAAATGAAACATTGTACTAACTCGCGGCATTTCAAGAACTTGGAATCCGTACTCATGCCTCCGAGTTAAGGCAAGCTTGACAAATAATGAAACATTAGTAATCTTATTCGTTTTTCCGGGGGGGGGGGGGAATAGCATTTACTTCACCATTCGAGGAAGATAATGTTGAATCCTGGTGACTAGGGTTTGGAACAAAAGGTGCGTCTTTGGAATAAGAAATGAAAAAAGTAGTACTCATGCAAGTGATCACGGAAGAAAGGTGCGTCTCAACTGATGGCGAGTATCAGCAGCAGCGAAAAGGGGTGGCAAAGATATTACGAATTGATTTCCGTAAGGCAAAGTTCACGCGCAATCGGCTCGTTTCAA